TTATTGAATAACACAGAGTTTTTTGGCAAGTTAGCAATCAGAAAGCAAATTTAAGCAGGACTGATTCACTACTGGCTTGTATTAAATGAAGATTTTCATACCTGTGGGCACAGAGACCATCAAGATCTCAAGACTGCAGCTGTGTGCCAGCACTGGGATGTGCTGGCCTAGAAAAGATTCAGTGCTGTTAGGTAAATTACACATTAACGTTGCATGCTGCTGTAGGTTGTGCAGAGAGATCTATCAATCAGGCAGAGGTATAGTTAAATATAATATAGTTAATATAGTTAAATAAATCTGGTTTTGCTGATACTGTTTTGTAGCTGATACTTGATCAAACTCACAACCAAATATGCTTGGCCCTTCTCTCTACACCTCTATATTACTCTGGATGGTAACATCCAAATGGAAATAATTCAATGCATGGAAAAGTCTAGAATCAGCACAGCTCTGGACTAATCAGTAGTCTGAAGGTACTAGGAAAAGTGTCAAAAGCATCACACTACCTAGATGAAGTGCTTCTTTTTTTCTGTTTGTGGCTCATGGAAAGGGATGAGATGAGACAATATGAAAGAAATGTTGCTTTCTATGCTTAAAGCAATGCTGCCTCCAGAGAAAAACAGATGGATCATGGGAAGTACAGTCATGTTGGCAACCTCATGATAATTTACTTACCAGGAGCATAATTCCTGTAAATATGGTCACAGAAACTGCACTTCAAGATTTTTTTCCTTCTAGCTGACATTTCAGCAATCAAAGATTAAAAAAAAATTCAAGTAGACCCATATGTAATTTCTGTGTTCTACATAAAAAAAATGCAAACTACAGCTTACATTTACTACTTTTAAAACTTCCTTTCTCTCTCTGGTCTTGAAGTTTCTACAAAAGAAAGCATTTATTTGAAAAGCTGAAATCAGCAGGAAAGCAGAGATTACAGGCTCATAGAGTAGAAGCATCACCTTCACCTAATGTAAAAGTGATAGGAATATGAAAAACACTGCATGATTTATGCTTCTGCACCTTGTGTGTTACTTTTTAATGCAATAACTTTAAGTGGAGAAAAATCCCTCTGATTTTATCTGCTAAACTGCCATAAATCTTCCATTAAAAATATTTTTAAAGTATGACTGATCATCATGACATGAATATCTCTTCCTGTTCTCCCTCAGGCTTCATATATAACCTATACAAAGTTTTATTAAGCATTAAGTTTTATTAAGTTTTAATATTTTTTAAGTTTTATTATTTTTTAAATACTAGTAAATCACAGTAAAATAGGATTTCTGGCTAGGGATGCATGAAACATGAAATAAAAATATTTGTTCAGCTGGCAGTTAACAACCTGACTTCAAGTTTAGGGAATGGTAATTATAGCAGAAAGCTAACCAGGTTCTTTGCCAAGTTGTCATGTTATTAAAAAAAAAATTCTTTCATGTTTTGTAGCAAATTTAACTTGTTACACTTTTTAGTTTCAGTTAGAATGTTAAAAAAGTTAGTACAAAGCACTGTAAAAAGTGCAAAGTTGTGGGCTTTACACAGAACAAATGAGAATGCAAAACTCTACTCATTAGCTGAATAGGGAAACACAGAAGCAGAGGACTCCTTTCATTCCTGAAACTGATGATGATAACACACTTCTGATCTGTAGTTTAGTAGGAAATTATTAATATTCTCAAGCTTCTTCCAAAAAAATCACTGCAATTTCTGCAGAGACGAACATGACCATGTTATCAGGTAAAGTATGTTTACTTAAGATACTGAAGAATATCAAAATGAGAACAGTGTTTGTTCTGAAAGGAAAAGATTTAATTTCCAGGTAATGAGAACTAAAAACAGTTTTAAAAAGGTAGATTATAAGCAATGGCAAATTGTCCCTACAACTGTTCCAGGATCTCAGTGGAATAATTGCTCAGCTTGCTACTTAATATCTGCTTCCCATGAACTGTCTTGCCTAGAGGAAGTTATTGATGCCACATGAATATTTAAGAAGGAAAGTCATTGCCTCTGGGTATTGAAGGATTTTTTTACTAGACCTCCATTGACTTTAACAGGAGATGAAATGGCTAGTTACCAAATAGATACATATATTTAGATACCTAAATATATTTGCAATTTGCAAATGAAGTGCATGAGTACAAGGCTTTATATCAATTGTATAACCATAATTCCTGGGCTAGCTGAGGTTATTAGAGGAATCTTATCCAACATTTAGCTGCTGCCTGAAATGGGAGCTGATCCTGTGCAGCTATGGGTCCTGTGGTGTACCCTCCAGACACAGCCTCAAGTAGAGACACAGAGGTCTCAAACATCCTCTGCATCTTAAGTTAAATTTAAATTTACTGCTAAGCAACTAAGCTTAATTGTGGGTTTTTTTGCTGTTTTTGTTGTTGTTGTTGTTGTTGTTGTTGTTGTTGTTGTTTTTGGTTTTTTTTTTTCAAATACCAAAATTAGGTAGCATGCAAACCAATTTTTGTCATGAATACTTGGGAGCAAAAGGAAGATGAGGAATCAAGAAAAAGATTTCAAATGTGTAAGAAGGAATACTTTTATTATGCCTTGTAAGAATATAATTGAGATGCTGATATTTTAGCTTGGTTGGTCAGAGCATGATGCCAGTAATGCCACAGCCATGGGTTCAATTTGCACACAAACTATTTACTTAAGAATAGGATTCTATGAACCTTGTGAGTCCCTTACAACTCAGAATATTCTATGAAAATTCTGCTGTTGTCAGGTTTTCTGCATTGTTTTCTGCATTGTTTTCTGAGGGGAAAAAACAAAAACAGACAAAAAAAGACAAAAAAAAAGAAGAGAGTGCATTAGACTAATTCTTACCTATCAACTATTGAATTGGAATGAAAGGGTGAAGCAAATGTAACTCCAATAAGAACAAAGAAAATATTATATGGGTCTTAATGATTTTCAGCTTGAGTGGAAAGTATATTTCATTGTCAAACCCATATAATATTTTCATCCATCTGCCTGTCTGAAGTACTGCAAGTTAGCAATTGTTCCATGAACTTACTGGTGATTTAATGCTTAATGTTTTTGTCCCCATTTCCTGAATTTTTCAAATATAGAGGAAAAGCACTGGGGACAATTTGAAATATTTTTCTAACATACATTGCCAAAAAATAAATGAATGTTTGTATTGATTAACAGTTGCTAAGCAAATGAAACAGAGATTTAAACTAATACCATATTCTCTCAAAATTTTTCAACAAAACTTTTCTTATCTGTCATGCGAAAATTTGTCACTGACTTCTATGTGCATTTTTCAGTTATAAAATATAGGACACCAAGAAACTAGTAGATAACACTGTGCTGAGACAGCGTTTTTCATGGTAGTTTATATGCTGCTGTGCTTTGGATTAGTGATGGAAACAATGTTGATAAAGATATTTTGTTTAGCACTGAGCAATTCTCACAAAGAGGAAAGGCCTTTTCTGCTTCCTTCTGATCATCTTTGTGGAGTTCCTTTGGATTATCTCTAGCTTGTTCTTGTCTCTCTTGAATTGTGTTGAAAGTAAGAGGACTAAATAATCCAGGTGCAGCCTGATAATTGCTGAGTAGATGTCGTTGCAGGTCCCCAGCCAGGTAATAATTAGCATTGAGTCCATGCTTCTCAGCAGGCTGATCAATCCCTTTATTAAACTATACTTATTAAGAAACCCAGCTTCCTTAAAGACAGTCATGATACAGTGACCAACTGGTCCTTCCATCTAAATGCCATCACCAACTGGCCAAACAAGAAATCACCCTTTGGTGAACAAATTTCCATAACACATTCCATATGTTCACAACACCAGGTGCAGCAAGTGTAGATAAGAATTGTTCATCATTTTTTTCTCTGTTCTTCTCACAGCCTTTCCCAAGACAATGCCTGGGGAAGTTGTGCATTGTTCTGTGTGGCCGGAGAGCTGCTGCCATGAGTAGATTTGGATGATCATGTCTCTGTCTCTGCTGGTAAATGCCCCTGTGGATGCAGCCCTGGATACAATTTCAGACAAAACATGCTTCCATGCTTATGCCTGGTCCTTCACACTAGCACACGTGCTCCAGAAAACCTCAAAATACTGGCTGAAGAGCCTTTCTGACCCTCTGGAGACCTCCAGTTGCTGGTTAGGCTTGTACAGCCAACAGCCAGCTTGAGTAACTATAGAGGCTGTAGCCTAAGAGCACAGGTGAGCAAAGCAAGTGGCAGCCTGGCAGAGTGCACTGTGCCTCCTGTGTGTCCTGATGACTCCCTGCTTGTTTGGGTTTTTTATTTTAAGACATAACTTCCTTCCCTAATCAATGCTGTGCACTTTTACTGTCAAACTTCTAGATGTCAGCAGGCTGATAACATTCTAATCATTATGGATATCTTCATCTGATGTTTCCTCTACTCATATAATAAATTGCATGTAAATGTCTTTTAACATGAATGACAGAAGTATGGGAGAGAAATGGGAGCCCACCTGCCTTAATTATATTTATAATCATGATTATTCAGGGAACAGCTACACTATATCATGAAAGCTCTTCTGCTCCTTACTTATTTGTTAAAAATTTTCCTGACATCGGGCTGATATACACACACATACAAATAAAAATACTTGCAAGGGGTATTGTAGATGTCATATTTTGACTCTTATTGGTAAAAACAGTTTGGGTTAAAACCAAAACAGAAAGAGAGAAAGTCAGAGACAGGGACAAGACAAGGAAAGGGAAAAGGAAAGAGAAAGACCTCCCCAGTAAGCAACAAGGAACTGGAGTGGCAGGGGTCTCTCATACAAGTGTATTTCTCTGGAGATCCTCTCTAGTACAGCAGGTGGCTGGCTCACAATACTTTTCTGATAGTATTTATGTAGTTTCTGCAGGAACCTGCTCAAAGTCCCTGTCGGTTTTTCCTCATTATGATGCCATTAGTGCTGACTGGAGAAAGCTTTGATCAGATGCAGAAATTGCACTCTCATTTGATGTTAAGTTCTGTGCATATATATTACTGATATGCTTACCACATATTTAGCTGACAATTATCTGCTATGTCATCCATCAAGTCTTGATTTTCCTCTTGGGCAAGCTAAAAATGAAAAACAAAAAACAAAACAAAACAAAAAAAAAAACAAACCCAAAACCACCACCAACAAAACAACAAAACAAAACAAACAACAAAAAAAGAGGGAATAGAAAAATTAAGGTCTATGATAAAATCCTCATCCTAGCAACAGTCACTCTCCACAATAATAATAATACACTTACCTTTTGCAAATGTAAGTAGAGAAAAATAACAGCAGAAGAATAACTGCATGGTGGTAATACCAAAAGGGAAAAAAAAAGAAGAAATATCAACACATCAACTTAATTGAAAGCTTATGCAGTTTCCAATGAAAGGGAGATTGAAGGGCTGAGAGTGAAGGCCTCCAAGTACCCAAGTGAACCCCCTTAGTATTGCAAAGCTTGGAGAGTTTAAAGCACAGTGTAACACAGGAAATGGAAAGAATATTCCAATTACAGGATTTGATCCCTTCTTTCAATCAAAGAGTAAATCAGTGGAAATACAGGAAATCCTGGATAAATTTTGGAATCACCAAAGAATTCACACTCACACAGAGAATCCAGTTATCTGAATTTTTTAAAATGGAAAATGGTTTGTTGGCTTTTTTTTGGTGGTGATTGAGAAAACACAGGAAACAAAGAAGAAAAACTGTTTATGTCATTGAAATTGTCTTCCCTGAATATTATTTGCAAACATGAGCTCCAGGCAGAGTTGGCATTGACACCATTTCTGCTCCCAGGTCATTCTATAGCCTTGTTTCCATCATTGCTTAAACAAAATATCCTTTGGATAGAGATTTCTTACTGTGACTCATGCCCATTTTATTTAAATTTTAATTCCACAGGCACATTTCAGGGAAATTCAGAACTATGAAGAGCGTTCATCAATACAGGGCAGGATAGGAAAGAAGGTAAGAGATTGAAGAGGCAAGATGCTGAGATTTTTCTAGAAGGAAGTAAATTCCATGCACATGTATCTAAAGTGTTCCTTTTAATACTGTTTTTGATTTTACTTAGCTAAACCTGTTACTGTGCTTAAGAATTTTTAGCTTGTTACAAGCTAGACAGCTAAGTATATAAGACAGTAAAACTGTGTAAGCCAGGAATTAAAATAAAAAAGAAAAAAAACCCCAAAAAATGGAAAGTACTCAATTTCACAGTATGCAACAGAAAATGTTAATTCACTGTAGCTTTGGATGAAAAAAAATGGATTTTTTTGTTTGTTTATTAAGTTGTTTAATTTGCTTTGAGGGATAATATTTCTCCTGGAGGAGGCAGCAGCTAGCTGCTGGATTTGTCATTTGATTCATTGTTCTTTAGCTCATTGTAGAAAAATTCCATATGCAGTACATTTCCCTCTTTCTGTACATTAGAAATTGAAGTAAATTAATTATTTCTCATTAGAAACTCCTTTTGTTTTGTTACAACAGGATCCAGTTGCACAGCTGCAGCCAAACTATGGTTAACAGACCCTATATTAGAAGGAATGTGTGATATATGCTTCAGATCTATCATAAAACAACTGTTTTTAAGTGAAAAATAAAGACAAAACATGATAAAAAATGACAGCTAAACTACAAAAATATTAACTGCCTTGCTTTTCTTAAAGAAACTTTAAATTTAATTCGCATTCAGCTGCTGAGCCAAATCATCATGTTTTAAAAATACGTTATGATGCAGTAGGTGGAAAACATTTTATATCAAAAACTTAATACATCAAGCTGCAAGGCTGGTTTCAGATGAATTACACCTGAAATATTTTAGTCAGCTGCTAGGATTTAAAAGCAACATTTTAATATAGTGATGTATGACCCACTCTAACTACTGCCTTCCACAGTGCATTAAAAAGCTGAATAGAAACATTAAATAGCTTTTTTATTTTATTTTCTCTTTTTTTTTTTTTAAGCATACTCCCTAGAGCTTTTACTATTCTGTCTTTAAATCCACCAAAGTTGTAAAGCACACTAAGTTTGTCGTTATCATAAAAGCCATGTTGTTACCATAAAAGCTTGGCTATTTTAGACAAAGTTATAAATTCTTCTCTCTGCAGCTACATAATAAGTACCCTCCCTTACCACTGAATGAGAGTTTGTGTGTCAAGATCAAGTGATAAAAGCCCATACAGTTTGATCTTGTTAAATAGCAGATGAACTAAAATCATGCTCTTGTGCTCCACCTTATAGTTTTTCAGAGCTGTTTGCAGGAAACCTTCAAAGGCTCTTTTGAAGGAACTGAGATATGAACAGAGGGCGAGTGGACAGAGGTAGAGCACAGGCATTTTCACTCAGCATAAGCATTCTTGAGGATGGGGAGGTACTGAAAGGACTGGAGGAGCAGTGACAAGGACTCCACAGATAAGGAGAGTTCCACCATGTACATAGGAAGATTACGAAAACAGAAAAGTTTAGGAGGACTGATATGAAGAAAATGATAAATGGTAAACAGGGGTTCCTGTAGCAGCACTTTGCAATTAGCAGGACTGAGGGCTTCCCAGTGGTGAAAAGGTAACTATTGAACCTGGGGCTGAGATTAATAAAGTGGTAATGAGATGGAAAGTGGATGTGAGATGGAAAGGTTTGAAAAACAGAGAATTTTGATGAGATGAGGAAGAGATACAGTATGGGTTAATAAAAGACCAGGAAGGCATAGTAAGTCAGAGCATCTAAGAAGTTAAAAGAACAAGGAAGTGGTGAAGATCAGTTCTCTAATGAATGCTAGGGATTCTAAATACACTTTTTGGCTTGGGAAAGAAGATACTTGTAAACTGTAATTTATCTCTTGCTGATGTTGTTTCATTTGTCTGCACTTAATACATAGACATCTATTGATCCTTGAGACATGCTGGATATCTCAGATCATGTCTCCAGTGGTAGCACAAAAGAACGGATGCACTCAAGCCTTTCTTGAGTGTCAGCTACAGATCATGTGGAATGCTACTGGATACCTCACAAAGTGAACATGCATGGTGGTTAAACCAGGCTGACATGCTTACTTTTGGGAAGCATGACCCCATGACACCAGGAGAAAATATACACATGTTTTTAGATGCTTAGAAACCTCAATTACATCTTATTGTATCTTAACATTTAGCTAAAACCAAGTAACATAAAACCTAATCCTGTATCATGCTGCAAGGAGACACTGTGCAACTGTCATTACTGTCGAGAGACATGGAAGGCATTAAATTAATATATTGCTTTTGGTCCTTGTTTACAGGGATAGCTTTATATAACCAGGGTAAAGTTCAGCTTATGAGAAAAGTTAGCACTATGGTTTATAATTTGTGCTACATTTTTTTCTTTCTTCTAATGTTAGGAGAAGGCTTCTTGACCATGAAAAATGTTTTAACTCCCAGAATAAAGGGTCTGGCCCTCATTCAAAACTTCCATTTGTTTCATCAAACCACTTAAACACTTGGTTAGCTTTCAGCAAGTGTCTGAATCCTCAGCTGCCAATAAAAGATATAACTCTAAAAGTAAGTGAATAATTCACTAAAATGAAGCAAAGAAGGTCTTTCTAATTCCCACTAAAAGGGAAGTAAAATTCCCAAATTAATTTTAAATTTAATCCTCTTTAGAGGAATATTTGCATACCTTCAGGAACAGAAGCATAAAGGCACTTTAATATGATTAATTCTACTTCATTGCCTCAGATGTCTTGCTTGAGAAAAATGCATGACATATGGCTCAAAATGTAATTCTCTTACCAACACTTTATTGATAATTGTCAATAGTTACATGTTCACAATCACATGGTTATACACACAGAGCTGTTATGTTTTCTTCATCTTTGCTAATGAACAAATAATAGATTTGGGTTTTTGATGCAGAAGATATTAACCCATCCATCCCAAAGTATGTGAAGGAGGACCACAGACCATGTATCAGAATATCATCAAAACTAAAGTTAAGCATTAAAACACTTCCAGTGCTAAATTAGCAGTTTCAGAAAATTCTTCCTAACCCACAGACCAAATGTTTGTTCCTGCAAAGCAAAGTGAGTGTGTTCTCTCTGTATAAAACCTGTCTTCTAAGTTTTTTGGTGGGCCCTAGTGGCTCTAGTGTGTGTATCACATACATATTGCTGTATAGGCGAGAGAGTGAACATAGAGAAAATTTTGAAGGTGTGCAGCAGAAAGGCATAACACACAGCATGGAAAAGCATATCAAAATAGTATTATTTGCATGCTTATAGGTAGTTTTCTCCAGAATTAGGTATCTTTAGGGCCCTACATTTTCTTGAACCTCGAACCTGTGTTTTGCTATCTAGTGACTTACTCAAGGTCCTCCACAAAAGGGTGGAAGAACAAACTGGCAATTAAACATAATGGATTACCATGGTCCTACTTCTATTATTTTAACACCATAAATACAGCTAAAGGAATCTGAGCTGCTATCTCATTCATATTTTTTTTTTTTTTTAATGTCACAGAGACAAGTCTCAGTCTATAACATATTAAACACTTAAAAAAGACAATTGAAAAAGAGAGGCCTTCTTTGGGAGCAAAGAGTCTCATCTCAGACATAGATTTTCTTCAGGAACAGCCTCTCCCACTCATCCATGTATGAAATAAGGACATTCTTAAAATTTAGAATCAGGTCTTCATTTTAAAACTTATATGTCATACTTTAAATTAAAGGATTGTTTCTACATTTATAGATAGATATACATGTATGTATGATATAGATAAGATACACTGAGCACTATATCTCCAATTATTTTATTTATATACAAGTATGGTTTTTCCAATAAAATCTCCTAAGGTCAAAATTCTCAGTTCAGATCATTTTTATAAGTAATTGTGAATATTTTAAGCTTGTTTGTGAATGCTTCAACCAAGCTTGTAGCTTCCTTTAAAGATGTGGAGATTGCAGCTTTAATGGGTGAGCTAGTGCAAGCAGAAGTCTGACATGGTTTTTAATGCCCATGTTCCCATATGCTTCAAAAAGCAGAACATATTCTTGAACTACATAGTAATGCAGAAAACAGAGTGTGTCTGAGTC